CTGAAAAATATATCTCTAAAAACTTTGTCCCAAATATGGCATTGAATTGCTTTTGAAACCTTAAAATACAAAAGCCCAATATTTTCTCTTACCCAAAACTCACATGCACCTATATGCTATATATATAGCAATAATCGGTATGGCTTTCCAAGTCAAGCTCCAATTCAGTGCTTTTCAAAACAATTCGATAGCCAATTTCAAATTCTTCTTAATGGGCTAGCTAGACTTAGTTTGCACACATGCTTATTATCTTATAAAGCACACACCCTCACATAAAGTATTGGCTGCTCAATATTTTTCTCCACGTTAATGCCCCCACATATATACAACACCAATATATATATATATATATATATATATATATATATCCTTTATACATTTTTCAGAAAATTTACTAACTATACCAAATCTTCCGTGACCTCCCTTTTTTCCTTTTCCAATTAATCTATTTTTTCTTTCCTCAAATAGATCATACCAAATTTGTAGGAATCTCCGTGATTTCATGTAACAATCATATCTCCTCAAATCTCTGCAAATATATCTACAAATATCTCTGAAATAAACTTGTCCAATTCTACTTTTTATGTTTAAAAACTTTCAAAATCCAGAGCAACTAGCAGATCAAATCGTCACAAAATCTGATTATGCATCAATCATCAAGCCATACAACACCAATATATATATATATATATATATATATATAGCTTTTATACCTTTTTCAGAAAATTTACTACCTATACTAAATATTCCGTGACCTCCCTTTTTTCCTTTTCTAATTAATCTATTTTTTCTTTCCTCAAATGGATCATATCCCAAATTTGTAAGAATCTCCATGATTTCATGTAACAATCATATCTCCTCAAATTTCTGCAAATATCTCTACAAATATCTCTGAAATAAACTTGTCCAATTCTACTTTTCATGTTTAGAAACTTTCAAAATCCGGAGCAACTAGCATATCAAAATCGTCACAAAATCTAATTATGCATCAATCATGAATTTAACCCTATTTTTGAATTTTGTACAACCCATTTCTAAAAAATTGCCAACTAACAAAATCCCTAACATATCCATTGTTTGATAAACTATTTATTTTTAGACCGAATGTAGTATGAGTATTACATTTGAGGCTTTTAAGAGAGATAAAATGCTAAAAATAAGAAAAACAAAAAGATATAAGCATCTTTTTCACAAGTTTTAATTCAGAATACTTCTCGCCAAGAGCAAAGGCTCGTTGATATATCACATAACTTGGAGTTGAATATGTTATACACTCGTCATTAAGCATCTTGAGATCTTCTACCCTTGTAGCCAACATTAGCAATTTTGAAACCTTCACCGCAACAGTTCTTTCATGGGCAATTTGAACGATATTCCAGGCTTCTTTTACAGATTCACCTGTGAAAATCAATTCAAATTGATTGACATCCCCGACATTGAAGATTGCGTCAATACTTTTAAGTTATTGACCAGACAATCTTCCTCACTAGACCACGTCTCTTCATGCTTAAAAACGGTTTTTTCTACAGCATCCTTTGTGGTGGGGTGTTCCCATCTAGTCAAAACTGGTTGCCAAGCTTTCTCATCTATTGTTTTTATGAACGCTTTCATGCGAGTTTTTCAGTATGAGTAATTAGCGCCATCAAGAAACGGTGGCTTATTCACCAAAATACACGTTAGTGAACCGCTATGATAAAAATACCGGTTTAATCTTTTTTACCAAGTTTAATTATTAGATCGTTTAATTGTTTATTAAAAACTTGAAATAATCGTAAAAAGACAGAAAATCTTTTTTTGTGGTTCGGTTCACACCTATGTTCACGTGGCCACGCCCAGATAATAAATTCACTAAGTAAATCAAAATTACAAACTCAAATGGACTTAATCAACCAGAGACTTCCTCTCTAAGTCTGATGTCTATGATTCTACAACTAAGTAATGGACTTACTCAGCGAGCTCTGCTCGACTTGATGTAGTCATGTTGAACTTCTTTCAACACGACTAGTTGTCTCCTGAAAACCTCAACTTTTTCTCTTGAAGAAAAAAACATTTTTGGACAAAAACGATCTGACTCATTGAGTTCTAATCAATTCTGAAGTGCCCACACCAACATTGAGTCAGTCCATATAAGAAGAAAATCACTTAGTTTGGTATTGTTGTAGATTTTGAAAATTACTTTTAGCATGCTGAAAGAAAAAACAGTTGTTACAAAAAGCAGTTGAGTGTTTGGTAAACTGTAATTATAGTAATTATGCTGGTTCTAAAATTAGTGTAATAGCGTTTGGTAAATTATGAGGTTGAATTACTGTACATAGTTATTTCCAATTAATCTATTTTTTCTTTCCTCAAATAGATCATACCAAATTTGCAGGAATCTCCATGATTTCATGTAACAATCATATCTCCTCAAATCTCTGCAAATATCTCTACAAATATCTTTGAAATAAACTTGTCCAATTCTACTTTTCATGTTTAAAAACTTTCAAAATCCAGAGCAACTAGCAGATCAAATCGTCACAAAATCTGATTATGCATCAATCATGAAGCCATACAACACCAATATATATATATATATAGCCTTTATACATTTTTCAGAAAATTTACTAACTATACTAAATCTTTCGTGACCTCCCTTTTTTCCTTTTCTAATTAATCTATTTTTTCTTTCCTCAAATAGATCATATCCCAAATTTGTAAGAATCTCCATGATTTCATGTAACAATCATATCTCTTCAAATCTCTGTAAATATCTCTACAAATATCTCTGAAATAAACTTGTCCAATTCTACTTTTCATGTTTAGAAACTTTCAAAATCCGGAGCAACTAGCATATTAAAATCGTCACAAAATCTAATTATGCATCAATCATGAACTTAACCCTATTTTTGAATTTTGTACAACCCATTTCTAAAAAATTGCCAACTAACAAAATCCCTAACATATCCATTGTTTGATAAACTATTTATTTTTAGACCAAATATAGTATGAGTATTACATTTGAGGCTTTTAAGAGAGATAAAATGGTAAAAATAAGAAAAACAAAAAGATATAAGCATCTTTTTCACAAGTTTTAATTCAGAATACTTCTCGCCAATAGCAAAGCCTCGTTTGATATATCACATAGCTTGGAGTTGAAATATGTTATACACTCGTCATTAAGCATCTTGAGATCTTCTACCCTTGTAGCCAACATTAGCAGTTTAGAAACCTTCACCGCAATAGTTCTTTCATAGACAATTTGAACGATATTCCATGCTTCTTTTGCAGATTCACCTGTGAAAATCAATTCAAATTGATTGACATCCACGACATTGAAGATTGCGTCAATGCTTTTAAGTTATTGACTAGACAATCTTCCTCACTAGACCATGTCTCTTCAGGCTTAAAAACAATCTTTTCTACAGCATCCTTTGTGGTGGGGTGTTCCCATCTAGTCAAAACTGGTTGCCAAGCTTTCTCATCTATTGTTTTTATGAACGCTTTCATGTAAGTTTTTCAGTACGAGTAATTAGTGCCATCAAGAAACGATGGCTTATTGTAACACCCCCATAGGCTAAACCGGTCTAGGGCCGAATTTAGCAAGGTGGTGCTACTTAAAACATATTTTCTATACTTAAAACAATGTCATTTTTAAGATGCGGAAACTTGTGGTTGATTTCATCACAAAGTTTATCCTAAAAGTTTTTGAACAAAATGAGTAAGTGCACAACCACAAATCTTAAACGTTAAATAGTTATTCAAAAGCGACATAGTAACAAAACAAAATATTTTGAGCCCATCTATTGTTTGGAAGTACATATAAGCAAGATGCCAGATGTAAGACTTCGAGTACTCAACCAACCTTGGAAATCATTTTTCTTTTTACTCTTCGGTAACAACAACATCATCTGCATCACAAGGTAAAACTAATGAGCAAGAACTCAGTAAGTAGATTTCAAATATAGTAAGTATCTAAAATTTCTGTGGCTAAAATCTCTTTGTTAATCATTGTTCATAAACTTTCATACTTATTCTTAGTTTAGGTATGATACAGAACTTCGGTTCCAAGTAAGCCTCTCTATATAGGACATTCTCTAGTTTTGGCCAATTCTCTTCTCTTAAACACTAAGCGGGGTTTTTAGAATCTCTTTCTCTTGTGATCAACAAGAAACTTTCCACTAGTATTTTTCTCTAGTTGTCTTAAAGAGACAGTTTCTCTAATTTGGGGTACCGGTCCCTCGCACCCCTGCTTACCCAACCTCTCATCCATATATCATACCATAAAATCTCTTAAAACAAAAAAACATAATAAGTATAAATCATAATCTCTTTCAAAATAATTAATCATGAATACTCTTTGAACATAATCATATAAGAATTTCATAAGAGAATAAACTTATATAATCATAATTCTGAACAAGTTAAGTCAAATAGGTCTTGTGATGCAGTTTTGAAAATGCTTTAACTCTACTTACCTGAATTTTGATCACCACTTTGCAAGCACAAATTAGCTGGTTGTGGGGGAGCCTTCAATGTGCTAATTAACCTTTAAAAACCATAGCTTTCAAAAATCACATTCATATCATCATTTAACAAACACATAACTGCGCAATATTACGAAAATATTCATAACGAATTCATCAAAACTCAAAATATTATGAAACCAGTGGCAAATAAAAGTAGGCTCAAAACCCTCTTTTTAGAGCGACTACATGATAGGTTTCGGATTTTTCAAACAAACCAAAAATAGCCCGAAATCCAGATTGAAGTATAATCTCGTCAGGAAAATAAAAGCTTTTTAACTGAACTTATAAAATTCATAACTAAATGTAGAAAAATCCGTTTGGAGTGATTCAAAAACTCACGTAAAGCTTGAGATGTATACTTTAATAGAAACATATAAGATCAGTCAAAATCATAAGTATATATGGCACAAAAACAGAATCTATATAGGCTGTATAGAGGACTTTTATTTGAACATTTCATCAAATACCTAGCATGCAGATCCTAATCTTCAAAGACCACTCTCAAATACATGAATCATCATCTTAATAAGAGTTTATCTTCAAATAATCATCAATAATATCAAGCTAAAATCATCAATTTCACCCAGAAAATAATATTTGAACCAAAACCTTAAGAAACTCATTTTTAAGAGTCTACAACCAACATGCATAATAAGCCCCTTTAAAAATCTGAATCTCAAGTAAGATTTCAACATCTTAATCTCTAAAATCTTAGTTTCTAACATAAGAAAGAAGTTACCTCAAAGAAAATGTGTTCCCAAGTGAATAGAAGCTCTAAATCTTCGTGGTTATTTTTGGTTCTAGGTTGAAAACGAGTTGAAATGGGCTGCTTGAGTTTTTAGCTCATTCTCTCTTAAAAACCTAGGTTTGATTCCGAGTTTTGGGTGAGTAAAGGAGTGAGAAGAGAGAAGAAAAGGTTATGGTCGGAGTTCTAGGTTTTTTTGCTGAAATAGACCCAAAATGAAGTCTAAACATGCTAGAAACTAAACAAAAGTAGAGTGACCTTATAGTAGGACAAGTGTCTAGATTTTTCTAAGTCTCTAACATTTGTCCTAACCTCATAAAATCAGCTCTAAAGTCTTTATTTTTCTTCTTCATTTAGGTGCCTAAAGTTCACTCAATTTGCTAAAATAGCATTCTCTCACAAAACTCAAAATAGCAACTAAGTCATCAACACATTTACATAAAGCCATATAATAAAATATAAAATAATAATTCATCATTAAAGCAATCATAATAGAGGTAAAATATCATAGCAAATAATCATAATAAATATAATTCCTTTTCTTCATAAGTTTAGCACATTGAGTTCCCACATCGAGCTAGTTGTACTGCACATTAAAACTGAAAACTCGATTAGTGAAGCTATAAGTTTAATAAAATCATATGATAGCTATCATAATAACATATAATGCCAACAAATAACTTTAAGGTAAATGGCAAATGTGATGCATGATTTTAATTTATTAAATTTATTTATTATTGGCTTAAGGCTTAATTAAATCTCGAGTATTATACTTATTCACCAAAATACACCTTAGTGAACTGCTCTAATAAAAATACCGGTTTAATCTTTTTTACCAAGTTTAATTATTAGATCGTTTAATTGTTTATTAAAAACTTGAAATAATCGTAAAAAGACAGAAAATATTTTTTCGTGGTTCGGTTCACACCTATGTTCCCATGGCCACGCCAACATAATAAATTCACTAAGTAAATCAAAATTACAAACTCAAATGGACTTAATCAACCAGAGACTTTCTCTCTAAGTCTGATGTCTATGATTCTACAACTAAGTAATGGACTTACTCAGCGAGCTCTGCTCGACTTGATGTAGTCATGTTGAACTTCTTTCAACACGACCAGTTTTCTCCTGAAAACCTCAACTTTTTCTCTTGAAGAAAAAAACATATTTGCACAAAAACAATCTGACTCATTGAGTTCTAATCAATTCTGAAGCGCCCACACCAACATTCAGTCAGTCCATATAAGAAGAAAATAACTTAGTTTGGTATTGTTGTAGATTTTGAAAATTACTTTTAGCGTGCTGAAAGAAAAAACAGTTGTCACAAAAAGCAGTTGAGTGTGTGGTAAACTGTAATTATAGTAATTATGTTGGTTCTAAAATTAATAAAATAGTGTTTGGTAAATTATGAGGTTGAATTACTGTGCATAGTTAAAAATTATGACTATGTCATATTATACTATAATATATATATATATATATATACAATTAGAATATAATATGTATTTATTATTATATTTAATATAATAAAAAAACTATTATTATATAATTATA